CAAACATGACACTAAAGATCTACAGGGAAAGTTCGCGTGGAGAAGGGTTCCCTGGAGTTCCCGGAGCTCACGATTCTGGCCGCTCAGCGCACATCCGTTGGCGAGGCGCAGTCCCTGGCACTCCACTGCCACTAACCTACTACGGCAACAAGGATGCTGTAAACCGATGGCGATGATGATGGTCAGGATGATCATCAAGATCATGACCATGATCATGATCATGGTCATGATGGTGATGCTGGCGCTGGCACTGGCGCTGGGGCTGGCGCCGCTGGCGATGATGATGCTGATGGTGATGGTGATGGTGATGATGATGATGATGATGATGATGATGATGGTGATGGTGATGGTGATGTGATGATGATGGTGATGATGATGACGATGATGACGCTTATGGTGATGTTGATTATGCTGATGACGATGATGATGTGGATGATGATAACGATGACGATGACGATGACGATGACGGTGGTGGTGGTGGTGGTGGTGGTGGTGGTGGTTGTGGTGGTGGTGGTGGTTCTAATGCTGAAGCCCGCCATCAGGATGTTGAGCAGGTTTGCTTCTGTTTATTGTGTCCCGGCCAGTGCTGCAGGCCAAAATCGAAGCCAAGCGACTCCTGCTCGAAACACGAAGCGTGCTGGAGCGCCTGGGGTTCAGCATCCGGGTCGGCCCATGGGGTGCCCCAAGCAGAATGCACGAAAATTTCGTTCTCGCATCCGCCAGTGCGGATGAGGATTGTGCTAGGAGCAGTTTGACAGAGCCGAGCTAGGCTTGGTGGTGTTTTAACAGAGTATTCCCAGCCCTCGCGGCCGCGGCACCTAGTACCCGCCGATTTGGTTCCATACCCTAGTTCCGACCTGTAAGCACCCTCTTTATAAGCCTTTTCCAAGCCGCAGGATGCCTGGGATGCTGAGCATTCGGGAACGCGCGGCCGCGAATAGATTAAAAGTGGCGGATAGTGACTTACTGGTGGCTTTGGCGACGGCATTCATTTTGCCTCGGGCATCGTTCAGCCTTGGTTGCTCTCCTGGCCCTCTGGTCGTGCTGCTACAGTGTGCTCGGTTCTCAGTATGAGACAGCATGATACGCTTTTCTTTGGTGTGTGCATGCATGCCATGCGTGCGCGTGTGTGTTGTGTGTGTGTGTGTGCGCGTGTGCGTGGTGTGTGTGTGTGTGTGTGTGTGAGTCTGTGTGTTTGTTTGTTTGTCCGTCTGTCCGTCCGTCGGTCTGTCTGTTTGTCCGTCTATCTGTCTGTGTCTCTGTCTCTGTGTGTGTGTGCAACCCTGTTACTCAAGGATAAGACTTTGCTGACTGTCTTGCAGTTTAGCAGGGGGGCAGTGCATGCCTGACAGTCACTGCCCAAGTGCATGGCGATATCTGGCCTGATCAGCCAGACATACCTGCGATTCGTTGCTTATGTCGCAAGGGGCTAAGCCAGGAGCCCCAATTCTGAGATTGAGTCGTGGCCAGTGTTCTGAAGTTGAAGTCTTTACCGCCACTTTGGCTTGACGTCTTCACTTCTGTAGAGAAAGGTCAAACATCTAGCCGAATCAGAGGGACGGAGGATTGCCCGAGGGCGTAGCTCGACGGTTTTTCGTTCAATGTGCCGTCTACAGTAGGATTGCCTACTGCATTGGACCCTGAACGGTTCTGAGCCCGGCTCGGTTCTAATCGCATTAGCCCTCGTCGGCTACCTGTCGCTAAGCCCTGACCGGTTCAACTGAAGGATATGTGTGTTGGAACAAACACAACAGTGATCCTGAACGATTAGCTGATATGCTGAATTATTTGGTCTGCTCAGAAAAGGAGCATCGCGTTTGTTCAGCTTTGAGACCGCCGGGCCCAACCAGCAAGTGTGTGAGCCTCAGCTGTTACATCCTCCCACTGATCTCTTCTGTTGTGAAGCCATGAGCAAATGGTACGAGAAGAATTGGGACAGCAAGAACGACAATCGTTGGTCCAACAGTCGAGGACGCCAATCGACCGAACAAAGTTGGTCCTGTTCCAGACGGAACTCCTGGCGCTCGACACCTACTACCTCTTGCACAGCCCCACCTTCAACTCCGAAGCCTACTGTTCCAGTGTCGTTTCATTCGGACAAAAAGTATGGGATCCTCAGCCGGTAGGAAAACAAGGACACCAGATTCTCAAAGAAGTTCAACCTACTGAGTGGAGCCGCAATCTTGGCGGGAAGTCCCATAGAGGACACTTGCGCCTGGGAACTTTCCCCTCGAGGGCTTTCAAAGTTTTCCTTTCGACTTTTGCGTGAAGGGCGGTACCAAGCCGTTTATACAACCCAACTGCTGAAACGAAGCAGAGAGTTGGATCTGGATATTACGGAAGTGGCAAGAACTTTTTTCACGGAAAAAGTTCGTGACACGCACAAAGATGCCACAAAAATAATGCAGAGATTGTCGTCTGATTTGGTAGACCATATGAAAGCCAAACTGCCAATAAAACCTTCGCCTGATGAGGCTGGAGCCTTGGCAATAGCCAAAGCCAAACTGGCAGCCCATGGCTTCACTGTGACTCTCGACAAGAGGGATGCTCAATCCAGTGACCTCACAGACACTGGGTTGCCTCGTCTAGTCGACCTCAATTCCAAGCCTGCCAAACAGGCCAAGCTGAGCAAAGACTCAAGCGATGAAGAAGCCCGAAAACTTGAAAAGTCCTCCCAATAATAAGCTGCATTCTCGACCCGAGTGAGCTTCGAAGACCAAGCCGGCTTTTGAAGGCAATTATTGTTGCAAAGACGCTGCTTGTCTCATGTGTTTGGACCTCAAACCCAATAGCAGAGCCATGCTCATGCTCAGTTTCGTCAGATCTCTGCCGTTATCGGGCAGAAGCAGCAAGAAGCAATTGAATCAGATTGTCGATCGCTTTTTGATGCAGTCTTGAAAACACTGCTGCTCGGACTGCTCGGCCTTGTTTTGCAGCAGCAAAATCTTTATTGCTAATGTGTATGCAATGTTATGCTGCTCAAGGTTCCCTACCCCGCAGCCATGAAACAAACTGCTGATGATGCTGGCATTCCGTTGCCAGGGAATTTAGCCCGATGCTCTGTGTATGTGGCCATTGACCGGCTTGTACATTACGAAGGCCACCTTTACTTGGATCTCGTTGTGTGGAGCACTTACAATGCCCAACAGTTGATACAGTTAATTACTGAGCATATAGGCATATACTGTATCGTGTAGGCATGGTCGTTCCCCCACCATCCAGCGGCTTCGACAAGGACATGAGATTTTCTCCTATCTCCAATGTGTGACAGCCTTTCACACTCGAAGACCGATCTTTGTCATCACTGGGTGATTTTCAAGTTCCCAGGACAGCTCTAATGGGAGCCACGCTTTCCAACAGTTCACAAGCTGGCCTTTTTACCCGAAGTCCTGAACGGGCTGTTGGGATATGAACTTGTGTTTCCATACTTGCAGGCACAAAACATTCGTCAGTCATGTTGTGGAGACGTCCACATGACATGACATGATATGTCGAAGTCCGATCGCAATGTTACGGTGTTAAAAGTTCGCATCCCTTTGGCTGTCATTTTTTCGAGCCATGTGCAATGAAGGCTTACCCAAAGCGTACCACGGCAAGCGAGCAGCTCCGGTTCGTATTTACATCCACGTTTGTCCTAGTTGAGAAGCTTTTTCTGTTTCAACGAGTACGAGCACCTCCGGCCGAAAAGTACTGATCCACAAACTCGTTCGATGCAACAAGAACGTACCCCGGGTCCATCGCCAAGAACATCTTATGACTTTTCCGCGGTTATCCATTTCGAAAGCGGGACCCGAATGAGTCCTCGTCGCTGCGCAATGTACCTACCGCTCTATTGCACAGCTGAAGAGTCACAGAAGAAATTTGCAAAAGTTTCACATTTCACCCTTCACCCGCCATGCTTGCCGGATGAGAAAAGCAGCAATTTGGATCAAAAAACTCCTCCCGTTAGCCTCGGCCAGGATTTCCCGCTCATTCGTATTTGGTCTGTGTGGAGATACCTGTTCCACCAGATCGTTGCCTTCGAGGTGAAGCCATGGTTTTTCATGTCAACTGCCACTCCCATATACCGTCGACCACGCCAACAAATTTGGCAATATCGGGTCAAAGATGCCACCAGTCGCAGACCGCAGCTACCATCGTTTCAAGTGCACCAAGCTGGCCGACACGTGGCATTTACTGAGCCCATTACAGCCTTCAGGACATTGGAGCCAGTTTTCTTTGTACGAGTTGCGCCAGATGCCAGAGATTAACACAATCCGACCGCATTTCTTGCCTATTCAAGAGTCAACAGTTGTAGTAAGCTCTGCCGTGCACGCCCTTGTGGCTTTGTGTGTGTGTGTGTGCAACCCTTCTAGTAAGGGATAGGACTTATATACTTTCAATGACGTCTGATTGTCTTACAGTTTAGCAGGGGGGCGGTGCATGCCTGACAGTCACTGCCCAACGAAGGCACTGTCAGTGCATGGTCATATATGGCCTGATCAGACAGTCGTACTTGCGGTTTGTTTTCTATGTGGCAAGCGACTAAGCCAGGAGCCCCAATTCTGAGATTAAGTCGTCTCCAGTGCTCAACTCTTCACCGCCAAAGTGGTTTCACGTCTTCACTTTAGTAGAGAAAGGTCACATATCTAATCGAATCAGAGGGAGGATTGCGCGAGCGTGTGTTTGTGCAGGTGCGTGCGCGACCAACGGTGCCTCTTTGTTAGCCTGTTAGCTAGTGGGACTGAAAATTCGCTGGCCGTGATTTTGCACCACACATGCTTTGCTGAAACATCCGTGTTGCTCTGAAAGGAATCGCTTTGCAATGGGTGGCAGAGAGAACAATTTATCAACCTCGCCCAGCATGCGGAGATGTGAGCCGCATTAAAATGCAATCCAGCTGCATGCGATTAGCTTTGATGGCTTGTAGCAAATGGCTACGACGAGAGATGGCGTTGCATTGTTAGAAGTTTTAGCCGTAGTGTTTGTATTTCGCTTTGCCCTTGGCGTATGGTTGAGCCATGGATGGAGCGAGCGAGATAGGAGCGGTCTGCCGAACAAGCAATACCTGATGCACCTCTCAGTCTGGAATTTAGGGTCCCGGCATAAACGGTGCTTCATGCGACTGGAGTAGCATAAAGTCCATGGACAGGTTGGCTCGATGTTTGACAGGACTTGCGGCTGCATCTGCAGCGGCATCCAAGTTAGCCAGCAAAGGTGGCCTGGGGCGCAGAGGTTTGTAGACAAGTTCGCCCACTGCTCCCGTCACCATACTTGCTGCTCTTTGACAACTGGCGTCGCTGTTCTGCGTTTTGCAGTGATGCAAGGGAGACATGTCTTGAGCCCTCGAGGTCCAAGGCTTAGCTTCCTCGGCTCCCTTGCACGTCCAATCCCTGCATCCATGTCAGCAACAAGAAAAGAAAGATAATCTCCTTCATCAGCGTGGGCGGACGAAAAAGCAGCCGGGAAGCGGCAGCAGGATCACGAAGATGAGCAACAGCAACGACTATGGCATCCGCAACGGCTACTATAACCCAACAACCAAAGCTAGCCACCAACAGCAAGAGCAAGAGCACCACCGCTTACAGTCACACCTGCCAGGCCGTGCTCAGGTCGTGGAGGATCTGCAGGAGAAGGCCAGATCTCAGTGCAGGGACTTTCGCACTGCCCCCCCCACGGCCCACCGGAAAGCCCACGAAAGCCCACCCCGAGCGGGATTCCAGGAGGCGCGGCAAGCGCAAGACTGGGACACAGAGGCTCGGCCCGAGCTCTCGGTCGTGCAGTGCCGCGGCCAGCGCCGAGGTGCGTAAACGATGGCGACAGAACTTCGCCCGGCAGCATGAGCCGCTGTGGCACGGCGGCATTGCGGATCGCCTGTGGAGCTGATTGGGTTTGGGGAGGGGTTGTATTTGATGGGTGCCGACGACTTCACTTGGTGTGCAAGCAGTTTGTGAGGATTTTCAGATCGGAATGCATCGATTGCATGCGCTCAGTGCGAGACTTATAATATAGGGGCCACAGAAACCGCAGGAGCAGAAAGTGCTTGGTCATTCGGGCTTCGTGTCTGAGTGGTTCTGGCCCACGAATTTCCTCGACGCAAATCGCCTCGCCGCTACTCACTGTGGCAGTATACGGGCCTCGACGTGAGGAACCAACCTCAGGGCCAGAATCCTGGCGATGTCTCCTTCACGAGGCTCGAGCCGGAAGGGTCCTGAGTCCTGAGCATGCGCCTGCACGCTGGACTACGCACCGCTGTGTGAAGATCAATCGCCACTCTGTGCGGTGCCAGGTGGCTTTGCCCCACAAGCCGCATCCACGACAGACAAGCCTTCCACGGCATAAGGCCGGAGCTGTCGGATCTTGCCAGAGGGCTTTGAAGCCGGAGATCCTCGGAGTCTGGAGACTTGCATGGTGCGACTCCTTGCCCTGAAATTCGCATGAGCCGCATCAGGAATGCCCGCATGCAGGAGGCTGGCGGGACTGCGATGTGTTTGGACACCTGCAAGCCGACCTTATGCTCCGAGCTGCAGGTGCTCGAGAGTCTTCTAGAATTCTAGAACCGCGTGAATTCCAGCTGAAGCAGGTTTGGGCGATCGAGGCTCGACAGCGCTGGCACGAGAAGCATCCAAAGCCAACGCCCTCGCCTTGACTGCTTCAGAGGGCCCTCGGTGCCTGGGTGAGCTTGGGGATGAGTAGGCTCTCTGCCCATTCGAGCGCCGTAGTGGGAAGTGGTGCCCATTCGATAGAGGCGGTCGATCCCAACTTGCCGCGAGTCGCAGCCTAGGTGGAGAGAGAAGGCTGTTGACTTGTCAATCTCCTGATCTGGTCTTCTGTGGGCCTTTCCTCGTAATCCGAGATTCCACCTAAAGCCTTTAGGGAGACGATAAATATGCTTCCCGATTAAAGCTGAAGGCCCTGGCCCCTCTTGTGCTCTGCAACTGCTCTGCAGTCCCTGAGGGACTGCGGCGCAGGCTGCATTGTAGTGACATCGCAGAGGCATTCCCGAGTCCAGGTGAACTGAACTGTCTGAACTGTACTGTCTTCGAGCTTGTAATCAAAGGCCAGTCAGTTCGGCTCGGTCTGCGTGAAGGTTTGCTGAATTTGCTTTGTGGTGGCCACTGTGCAATCCATGCTTGGGAATGTCTCCGCCTTCATTTTACATACTTTGCAGCGCGCATGTGCAGCACACCATTCGGTCCTCTACAAATTGAGAGAGGCAGCCAGCCACCAAGCCACATCTTGCATGATGCTCAACCTCCCGTCCAGTCGCCCGATCATCTATCCGATCATCCGCCCATTCTTAGAACCGGTGGTAGGCCGGTAGCTAGAGGAAGTGACACAACTTAGTGCCTGGCCCTGGTCTTACGCATCTGGCCAAGAAGCTTCTGACCCCATTGGGAGCGTGGCAGAGATAAGGCGCGGCCTCTGACAAGCCTTTGACCACCTAAGGTGTCAACTACAGCGCCGATGGCCGTGAAAAGGGTGGATGTCCCATGGGTAGTTAAGACTGTGTCAGCACGTCTGAAGTTTCTTTGACGTAAAATTTACGGCCTCCACCGGAATTAGCAGGAAAGCTTAGATCTCAAGTCAAAGTGTCTGGATCCGAGTCATACAAGGCAGAGCGATCTCGGCGCGGGCAGAATTGGCTCAGAGGGACAGCACGGAATGCGCCGCGCACTCCAACTCATGGCAAAGCCTGCACCCCGAACGGGTCTTCGGGGGGATCCGCTCCATCACTCATTGCAGAGCTTAGGTGTGAGGAAAGGTGCAGAGTGTGCATTGTATCTTGTGTGATCTTGCATGTGCATGCACTAGCCCTCAAATATCCTCGCCGGAGGCAGTTCGACTACGTTGTCGTCGGTCTGGGCCTGAGAGGTAGAAGCAGCTGATTTTGCGGCGCAGCTCTGCGACGAAGCGCAGGATGAGAGCTCAGTGCGAGCTTCCACTCGCGTGTGGTTACTTACAAAACCCTGATGGGTCCCGAGCCTGCCCCTCCCATGTTGCAGTGCTCGGGATTTGAGGTGGTGGCAATGCTGCGGGATATGCGTGCCGCGAGCTTCTCGTCCATATTGTTGGTTGTTGCCGGTTCTCGCCTGCAGTTCGGTGAGCTTGTATTGTAAGGATTTTCTGTTGAGAATCTAGGCGCAGGCCATCTGAAATTTTCAACTGTCGTGTCAATCGGTGGCATTCAGAAATCAGAAGCGATTCACTCTTGGAATGCGCTGTGTAAGAGTACCGTACGACAGCCGCAGTACCTTGGATTCACCTGCAGCGTCAACTGTGCTTGCAGTCTTTCGTTCACGAAGTCCCAAAAAGCTCGAAATCCAGTCTGCGAATCGCCGGCTTCGGCTCAGCCGCTCCAGAGCGGGGCGACAGAACGGCCTCCCGCGAGCCATGAAGGATGACTTCCACAGGCTGCGAACTGCGGCACGGTCAACTAAAGTCAAGATCGCCAAGGAGGCGAACATCACACAGACGACCGACGACGGTCAGACCCTGCTGTTTGCAGCCGCGGGTCGTCCGCCCAATAAGGGCAAGTCAGTCGATGTTTGCATGATATTGGCTGAACGGGGGCTTGGGCTGCACGCATAAAACTTCCAAAAATGAAAGCGCACTCTTTGAAGCTGTCCGTGGGGAAAATGTCGAAACAGCCAAATGGTTGTTGGACAATGGGTGCGATCGCAACCAGATCAGCTGCACTGGCCCAACGCCTTTCTGTATTGCTGTCTACGGGTCGCAATTGGAGATGGTGTTTTTACTTCTGAATTACGGGGCAGACCCCAACTATGAGGACAGCAGCGGCCGCCGGCCAATGCTGTACGCCGATCCGATTTTTCGGGCCGCTTTCCTGCTGCTGAGGCACAGGGTGGTGTCGCACCGCAGATCAACTGCAAGAGACGTCGCTCAGACGACGTCTGAGCGACGTCTCTTGCGATTGATCTGCGGTGCGACTCCACCCTGTGCCTCAACCTGATCCTCCATACAAGAAATTTGCGTGCGTTGGTTCCCAAAACTGCAAAGGACACTACTACTTGCGCCACTGGGTTTTTGAAGCGGAGCCGCATGGGGACAATGGCAAGATCCTCAAGCAAGAGGGAGCAGTGTACGCCGCCAACAGCAATTTTGAGGTTCAGGCGGCTCCGGTGAAAGCAGCCCCCAAGATCCGTGGCGTGTAGCGTGAGCTTTGCGAGAACCATGCGGATTTGTTTCCGGAGCTGATTCTTGCATGCTGCCCGGAGGAGTGGGCATCCGTTATAGGTGTGCCACAGGAGGAGATCGACGCCCAAGAGCGCATGACGGCGCTGCTGACGGATGCGCGGCGGCCGGATGCCTTGGAGTTTGTTCTGGGCGGTGTTGATGCAGGTACACGCGACATCTGTGCATACATTCATGTTCGCTTCTGCGACAGAGCAGTTCAGATATGTTCAGATCTGCTACCTCAAGGTGAAGAATTCCTACCGCGGATGCGGGCTAGGCAAGATGCTGGTACAAGCTGCTATCGATGCCTCTCGGCGGCGTGGCGCTATGATGGGCTGCGGCTAAGGTGTTCTCGTGAGCAGATGGGAGCACAGCAAACCAGCGAAAGTGCGAATCGGAGCCTCGAACCAAGCTCCCGGTCTGGTAGGGAGTCCTAATAACTTCGACGGCAAAGGCTACTGTACCCAAAGTTCTACTGCAGTCATTGATCACTTCTCTTGGATTCTTCTGACCTTCTTCTGCTCAACCCTGAGCGGCAATTCGCATTCCGAGGTTTGCTGCTCAGGGTGTTGCCGCAAGCAAGGTTGCTGTGGCATCTCGGCTTGGGAGCCTGTTCAGGGTTCGGATTACGGCTTTTGGGCCTGGGACCATGACACAACGGTTCGTAGTTGCTTGGACCCTTTTAGCACTGTGTTCTGAAGGGTGTGGTAGGTCATGGTATGCAGTGCTTTGCAACACTGTAGCGGCCATGTCACCGACGAAAAGTTCTGTGCTTGCTTGACAACTAGTAACTAAACTAAACTTAGGGTTGTTCTTCTCGCACCAGAGCAAAAAACGTTCAGTCGCAATGGCAAGATGAAGCGACGCTCGGTGGACTCGAGCCACCATGTGTTGCTGTGGCTCATCGCAATGCCATCACAAAAAAAACAGCCTTGTCCTTTAGGTACTTCTAGGTTTGGACGTGCAGAGCGGCAGGACCCTTTCAGCGATCTTGTAAGCCTAAATCCTGAACAAGAGGCCCGATTCCAGTGCTTGGAAATGCTGAGGTGACGGCCGAGCCAGTCCCGCCGTACGAGCGACCAGCTCTCACGAAAGCGCACCTTTGGGCAATATAGTTGAATTAGAGTGTTACAACATACTGTAGCCAGCGCATAAGAAGAAGCTACGGAATCATGATCGTACGATTCATGATCGCACAATCTAGTGCGGATACTCAGTACAGCCGGGCAACGTACACTTCGTCAGACCAGCTGGCAGAGCAAAACCCAAACTTGTAGGCACAGCCTTTGTCAGCTCACAGCGCCTTTCGATTGGATTTCCTGTCTAACAGCTGTTTGCTTCGCTCCGGTCCTCCCGAGTCATCGGTGTTGTCACAAGCTGGAGGTCAGCTCTAAGAACCGTACGTCCCTCGTGCCAGTACCAAAGCATAGAGTTATACATGCGCCAACTGCCCAGGTAAGCAAGCATGCCACGGTGTGCTCTTATTTGCCCGTGTAACATCGCAAGCTTCACTGATGTCTGCATGCTATTGCTCACGGGCTGCCACTTTACTTTGAAAACACTTGCTACCCTGAACATGAGCACCCAGTAGCGCAATGTTGACATTAAATGGAGAACGTGTGTCAGCAGGATTGTCTCATGAAGCACTGGCATAGTGACACGAAGAATCTGTTGCAAAGAGGCGTTGACACGGAAAGCCTACTTAGGCGTCTGCTGCCACCAATCCGCGGACTTGATAGAGTTTCTTTGGCTCAGGTATCTCCATCCACCCTCAGCCAAGGCCGAAGCCTTGACGGTACATGCAAATACATTCCATACAAGAAGGCAGGTAAAGCAGTGAGAAGAGCTTCCGCTGGGCGTGTTTCCCAGTTCTGCAGCATTGTGTTGCCGCCACTGAACTTCTCTGCTAGTACCATCCAACCCAATCAAGACCGCACTAACAATTTTACCATGCTATTGTTCTCAAAGTGTACTACTCCCACTGCAATTTGAGGCTCGGACACCTGCTTCTGCTGGTGCGACTGCTGCCGCTACGACTACCACTTCAACCATTATACTTGTACTATCTTGCACTGATTCCACTACTGCTCACTACTACTTACCGCTATCTGCTGCTACTTGCTACTAGATAGTCTCACTACCGCAGGACGAAAGTTCGCAACGCGGCCTCGAAGTCAACACATGAGACACTAGGACCCCCTTTCCCCCTGAGACTCCTCACACAGATCCCACAAGCTCTCCGACGAGAACATTATAGTAGTATAATTTTACT